ACACATACACTCCACTCCCTGTGAGCGAACTCATGGGTGGGCATTGTAGGCATCAGGCTTGTGGCCAGGCCTTGTAGGCATACTCATGGTCAGACCCTGGGGGCCCAGACTGTGATCTGTGTAAGGGGCCCCAAAAATTGAGCTGCTTCCTGTTCACTGTTTTTGTGAGCACTGCCTCAAGAGAGCCTGTTTTAACACCAGACCAGTGGAGCCAGACTGCAGCCTGAGCCCATCATCATCCTCTTGTCCTCATCTGGTGATAAGTAGGCAATCCAGCATATTAGTAGTGGCACTAATCCCTAATTTACCTCACATTAAAGGGCCACTATAGTCACCAGAACCATCTACAGCTTGATGTAGTGGTTCTGGTGTCTATAGCCTGTCCCTGCAGGCTTTTTAATGTAAACACACTGCCTTTTCAGAGAGACACTGTGTGCAGCACTGGCGTTGGCTCATATGGCAGATAATATGGGTGGGGCATTGTGATGGGGGGCGGCAAATTTGTGTTTGCCTAGGGTGGCAAAGATCCTTGATAGATGGTGGAGTGTGGAGATGGAAGGTTCTCTTTTGGTCAGGGAATACATTATCAAAACCTCTCAGGCTCTGGATGCCTCTCAACCCTTACCCTCTGGCGAGTCCAAGTGTGTTTTTCTGGATTTGGTGGGGTAACAGCTCTTTGACCCAAGGAATATTACATTGTGACATGCTAAAAGAACTAAACTGGCTGTCGCTGGAATCCAGACGCACCCTTCATCGTTCCAGCCTTGTTTTTAAGAGCTTTTCTGGGAAACTCCCACCCTACCTGAACAAAATGCTTTCCCCAGCTGTTCCCACTTTCTATAAGCTCCGATCCAGTACAAGCACTTTACTTAGTCTACCTCAATACAAAAAGAAAGCGGCCCGATCCTCCTTCTCCTATAGAGCACCGCAATTGTGGAACGACCTCCCGCACAATTTAAAATCTTCCCTAAGCCTAAAGTCATTTAAGAGATCCCTCTCTACATACCTCAAAACAGAATGCACGTGTCATGGTTGATTATATATTTCCTGCCTGTTCTATGTTAAATTTTGTATATATTGTGTATTAATATTGTTTTTGTATTTTGTTGTACCTAATGTAACAATGCAATGATTTGTGGACCCAGGACATACTTAAAAACGAGAGAAATCTCAATGTATCTTTCCTGGTAAAATATTTTATAAATAAATTTTATAAATAAATAAATATTAGACACCCCAGATCCTCAGAGTGGCACCTTCCCAATCACCTGGCCAATTTTTGATGCCTGAGGCCCTCTCTACTAGACAAGCTCAGCAGAACCTACCGGGCAAGTTTGTCCTGATGCCTGAATTTGATATGGCGGTTTCCACTTGGCAAGGACTGGAAGGGCATCAAGTGAGATCTGAAGCTCGCCTAGGACAAGGTCTAAATATCTCCATCGTCCCTTTTTCTATCTCCCTGCTCCCATCCTGATAAATAGCTCCTTTGCCCACTCTCAGTCCACCTCTCTCCATCTCCCTGCCCCCACATCCCGATAAATATCTCCATCTCCCACTCTCAGTTCACCTCTCTCCATCTCTCTGTCTGCCCATCCTGATAAATATCTCCATCAACCCCTCTCATCTCTTCCTCCCAGACCATCTACGCCTATGATCCCCACAGTCTATCTCCCAATCTCTTGTCCCAATTCTTGGCATTTACCCCCCCATCTCTCTTTCACATGGCTTTAAATTCTCTGCTTTTTGTACCATTTTACCATCCAATACTCCTGCTTTCTTACTCACTCACACCAAATTATCTTCCAACCTTCCCAACAATCTTTGTTAAATAAACTGTTATTCAAAACATGTTTTCATTAATTTTAATGTAGACCACTTGCAGGTTACTGGCAGGTCCATGTTGCAACATTCTCTCAATGAGACTAACTGATAGGGAGAGTTTTTAGGTCTGTCTGGCAAGCAAAGGGTGACTTACTTGAGTTTCTCCTGGAATGGATCCAGGCCCCGCCAATAACTCGAGCCAGACAAGGATGTGATGGTTTAATAGGATTTGGGTGACTTCCAACCAGTTCCAAATCCTTAGAGAAGATTCCTTAGATCTTCTTATTTTCTCATGAATAAAATCTCTGGACTGACAGTTGTTCATCTGAGTGAGATACCATGTATCATTCTAATGCCTACCAGGAGCTTGCTCACATCATGCCTTTAGCAGATAAATCCGATATTCTCAGCTGATTGTGTATTATTTACAGTACTCTTAATGTGCAAGTTAGAAAAAGGACAAACCTGCATTTCACACTGCATGCTGTAAATGAGATTTTAGATTATATATATATATATATATATATATGCGTAGAGAAATTTCAAATGGATCATTTAAAAAACAACCTTATCAAGAATTAAAAAAGGTGGTACTTAATATTTATTTATTGAATGTGTTATAAATCTTCATTGCGATATTACAGTCAGAAGACATAAGATTAAACTTTCTAACTGCTGTGTCCCACTGCTGTGTCCCTCTTTCAATACATTCCAGGTACCAACAGGCCTCTGAGACATTTCAGCACATAGTAACCAGGTGCAAGATTTTAGTAAGGACAGCACACGCTGAGAGGCACAGCCAAATTGCTGGGATTGTGTCAAGAAAAATCTGCACAGAATATGAGGTGGATCTGCCTAAATCCAGATGGGAAAAGCACAAAGGGTATTTGAGAATAGCATGGCTAAGATCCTGTGGGACTTCCAGATCCAGACATACAGTAAATCAAGTAGTGGCCAACCAAACCGACATAGCGGTGCTAGACAAGGAACGGAAAATTGCAGTGGTGGTGGATGTGGCAATACCCAGTGACTATAACATCGGGAAGAAGGAACATGAGAAGGTGGACGAATACTAGTAACTGAAAGAGGCGCTAGAAAGGATGTGGAAAGTGAACGCAGTAGTATTCTCAGCTGTGATAGGAGAACTCGGACCTGTAACTTCTAAGTTGGGGGAGTGGCTTCAACAGATTCCAGGTGGGACATGTGAGATTGTTGTCCAGAAGAGTGACGTTCTAGGAACAGCTAAGATGTGCAGAACCCTCAGACTGCCAGGCCTCTGGTAGAGGAGCCAAGAATGAGGAATACACAAAATACTTGGAGGGCTTAGAAAGTTGTAAATATTTCAGATTTTAATACAGAGTAAGATCCTCCCTTTTGCTCAGAACAACCTTTAAATGAACACTGTAGTGTTAGAAACACAAACATTTAGTCCCAAAACTGTAGCCCTGCAGTAACTGTTCCAGATAAACATCTCCTCATATAGATTCAATGAATCAATGCATCTCTATGGGTATCATGGAGATGCTGAACGTAGGTACTGCACACTCTTCAGCTAGGAAGAACCTCTAGTGTCCGCCTGAGTGACTGTCACTAGAGGTGTTACTAGGTAGCAATGTAAGCACTAAAAAGACAGCATTTACATTAAGAAGCCAACAGGGACACACTATAGTCACCAGAACAACTACATTAAGCTGTAGTGGTTCTGGTGATTATAGTGTCCTTTTAATTCTCTGTGGCATGGATCCTGGAAGGTCCTGGAAAAAGTTCCAGTTGCTGCAGTCCATATGAACATTTTGCAGTTGCTGCAGATCTGTCAGGGGTGCAGTTGTTGCAGATTTGTTGGGTCGCAATCGCTGTAGACTTGTTGGGGCACAGTTGTTGCAGATTTGTTGGGTCGCAATCGCTGTAGACTTGTTGGGGCACAGTTGTTGCAGATTTGTTGGGTCGCAATCGCTGTAGACTTGTTGGGGCTCAGTTGTTGCAGATTTTCTGGGGCACAATCATTGTAGATTTGTTGGGGCACAATAATGTAGCAAATTGCCCAAATTCCACCACATTCCAAAGGGTGGATCAGATCTAGTGGAGGCCATTGGAGAGAGCTCATCGTCATGTTTGAGGAAGCAGCTTGAGTTGATCTGTGTATTGTGACATGGTGCATTCTTCTGCTGGAACTACGACTATTCTTTGTAAACTCATTAGACTGTTGTACCCTCTGTACTGTGGAGCTCTGAACATTAGTGTGACTTTTACTCCTGTGGAGCTCTGTTCTACATTTATACGCACAGTTTATTACTGGGAGTTTGGCTGCCATGGAGCTCTGTGATACACTCATACTGCACATTGCTGTGAGTTTTGTTGCCATGGAGCTCTGTGATACACATCACACATTACTCCCTGGTGCTGTTCTGAATTGTCTCGTGTTCTATTGCTGATACAAAAATAAACCAGTTCAGAAATTATTAAGCAGTGTACACAATTTATTATGTTTTTCTGTTGCCTGGTATCAAACCTTAATATACAGTAAATCTCAGACGAGGGAGGTAAGTGGGTCATGTCTGGTATAGGGCTTTCTAACGTCTTAGAGAACACCTGGCTTTTTCTTAGGGTTATTTGTGACGGAATATTGCAAATGAAAACACGTTTGCTTTTCCTGGCATTGCCCGGCATTACATCAATACTTTCAGGCCTTTGGAAATACTAGATTTGTGTCATTATTGCTGGAAACATAGACACAGAGTTTGCACCCCCTGACAGCTGGCACGTCCTTCCCAAAGGGTTAAATTACTGCATTTATGGCACCCCTGAGGTCAGTTTGGAAACACAAGCCAAGAGCAGGTAATTTATAAGATGAAGTCAGTGTTTTTAATGAAGGCAAGCATTTACTGACACTCCCAGAACTCTGTGGACACTGCAAACCAATACAAACACCGCAGAGCACCGTGTACACTGCACAAACCAATAAAAATATCACAGAGCACCGTTTACACTGCGCAAACCAATACAAATACCGCAGAGCACCATGTACACTGTGCAAACCAATACATGTACCGCAGAGCACCGTGTACACTGTGAAAACCAATACAAATACCGCAGAGCACAGTGTACACTGCGCAAACCAATACAAATACCGCAGAGCACCATGTACACTGTGCAAACCAATACAAATACCGCAGAGCACCATGTACACTGTGCAAACCAATACAAATACCGCAGAGCACCATGTACACTGTGGAAACCAAGACATATACCGCAGAGCACCGTGTACACTGTGCAAACCAATACAAATACCGCAGAGCACAGAGTACACCGTGCAAACTAATACAAATACCGCAGAGCACCATGTACACTGTGCAAACCAATACAAATATCGCAGAGCACCGTGTACACTGCACAAACCAATACAAATACCACAGAACACCATGTACACTGTGCAAACCAATACATATACTGCAGAGCACCATGTACACTGTGCAAACCAATACAAATATCGCAGAGCACAGTGTACACCGTGCAAACCAATACAAATACCACAGAGCACCGTGTACACTGTGCAAACCAATACAAATACCGCAGAGCAATGTGTACACTGCGCAAACCAATACAAATATCGCAGAGCACATGTACACTGTGCAAACCAATACAAATACCGCAGAGCACCATGTACACTGTGCAAACCAATACATATACCGCAGAGCACCGTGTACACTGTGCAAACCAATACAAATACCGCAGAGCACAGAGTACACCGTGCAAACCAATACAAATACCGCAGAGCACCGTGTACACTGCGCAAACCAATACAAATATCGCAGAGCACCGTGTACTCTGCACAAACCAATACAAATACCGCAGAACACCATGTACACTGTGCAAACCAATACATATACTGCAGAGCACCGTGTACACGGTGCAAACCAATACAAAAACCACAGAGCACCGTGTACGCTGCGCAAACCAATACAAATACTGCAGAGCACCATGTACACTGCGCAAACCAATACAAATACTGCAGAGCACAGTGTACACCGTGCAAACCAATACAAATACCACAGAGCACCGTGTACACTGCACAAACCAATACAAATACCGAAGAGCACTGTGTACACTGCACAAAGCAATACAAATACCACAGAGCACCGTGTACACTGTGCAAACCAATACAAATACCACAGAGCACCGTGTACACTGCACAAACCAATACAAATACCGAAGAGCACTGTGTACACTGCACAAAGCAATACAAATACCACAGAGCACCGTGTACACTGTGCAAACCAATACAAATACCACAGAGCACCGTGTACACTGCACAAACCAATACAAATACCGAAGAGCACTGTGTACACTGCACAAAGCAATACAAATACCACAGAGCACCGTGTACACTGTGCAAACTAATACAAATACCACAGAGCACCGTGTACACTGCACAAAACAATACAAATACCACAGAGCACCGTGTACACCATGCAAACCAATACAAATATCGCAGAGCACCGTGTACACTGCACAAACCAATAAAAGGGGTGTGAAAGGGGTGTTTGTGGAAAGTAATTGAAGCGCGAAAAGCGTTCGGTTAGAAATTCATGAAAGATACACAAAATTACCGAACCGTTCGCAAACGAAAATAATAAGAGTGTAATAATACTGTTCACGAGTTTTGCCGCGAACGGCCTCGTAAATTAACTTTGGTCAGTAGCAATAACCGAAATATGTACCTCAGAAAATTAGAAAATATAATTAGAAAAATATCCAGAAATAAATATTTGTGTTTACAATAATGGTATAAAGAAAACAATACAAATTATAATCTAAGTAAGCTAAAACTAAAAATTAAATAGAATATAGAGATAAATGTTACTTATCTCCACTGGAACAGCAAAGAAAGAGGAAGAGAGTTGGAGGTCATTCCCTATATATAGACTACGCTGGATGCTGATTGGCTATTGGATATTCCATTGCAATTACTTGACTGTTTTTTCTTATATTGTTTCACTAAACTTTATTGAAATACTGGAGGAGTTTAGTAAAGAAAGTTAATGCATAATATGAGCCTCCTGTCTTGTTATAAAATTGAAGATCACTCCAGACGACTAAAACAGTTTTGTTTGCTAGAAAATCTTTATGTGTGAAGAGTTTGTCCTCTTTATTTTTTTTATTTTACAAAATGTGCAGATTTCAATAGAAATTTATACTTTTAGAAATTAATCTGGTTACACCCTCCTGACTGTCAATCAGACACCCAGTCCTGTTACTTCCTGGTTTGTTTTGCTCAGAGGAGATAAACCCAATTGCTCAGAGCACCTGCCTTGCAAAGACTTCTCACTGAGCTGCATTGGGAAGTCTGTGATTGGATAGCCACAGAAAGTGTGGGCGGGGTCAATAGGGGAGGATTTGCAAAAGCTGCAGAAAAAAGATCTGCACTTTCCCAAAGCTGTTTAGATATAACCTCAATGAAAAAAAAAATCATAATTAAATGCCTGGAAATTTAGTAGAATATATCTACTAAATAATGATTTTTATTTATTTTGTTTTTGAACAAGTCTGTTTATTTGAATGGTCTTTAATAAATGTAGGTTTTTACTAGTGGTCCCTGTCTACTACGCTGTGCATTGTATTTTCCTTGTTTTGATAGTTACTTCTGCTAGTGGAATAATCGCAGTTTGTATGCTGAGCTAGGTGAAATCTATTTTCTCAATTTTTGGCACTAAATCATGGTCATGTCGTAACCAAGGTGGTGGACGTTCTAGGCCTCTGCCAGTGAAGTCCTGCATTTTAGCAATCTGTCCTGCAGTAAAGAATTAAGCTCCCAGTGGGAGATTTATAGCTCGGTTGATAGGAGAGCTTTATAGAAAGGACTTGAATTTATATGGTGACACTTACTAGACGTTTTCCCCAATTAATGGCACTTTTGGAAAAATATGTGTTCTGCTGTTTGAACTATAAACATGCTGTTAATGAGGTCAGGGAGTGTGAACCAGCTGGGCGAGATTCACAGTTTACGAACAGAGTAAATCAGGCTACAATTTAACCCTGATTGTCTACTGGTGTGCGTGCCCTTATTGTGAGGGCGTCTCTGAAGTGAATGTCCCAGTTACGCTTATACCTTCACACCTTAAGGCTGGATCTAATCTTTTATGGTGGGTATTGCTACTATGCACTATTTTACATTTCTTGCATAACTCTGAAATCTGCTGATAATTAAAATAATCACAAGAAACATCTATATGTTGTTTCTAACATATTTTTAAGTATTTAATCTTCTTAAATCTTTTTATGTGTTTTATAATGGATAACCTCAACTAAATGGACTCACTTCAGACTGCTACTTAGCAGATATTGTCTTCTGGAACAGACTGGACATTTTTAGGGTGCAGCATTCTGTTGCCGGTTCTGACACGATCTGGAATAATTCTGGGTGACTTGACTAAAGAGGATACAAATAGAACAAGGCATAGAGATTAGGAAATTGGTGAACGGTACTGAAATTATAATTCTGGTAGACACAGGGCTCAGAGGAGTTGCACCCAACACTCTTTCTTTTACAGTAAGCTGAATTTAGGGTGTTACTATCCAAATTCAACCTCCAGTGGTGGTGCACCCTTGGCTATATCACTAAAGACCTAGAATTCTAAGAAAGGGCTTATTTCTCTCTTATATTGTGAAAGAAAAGGACAGGGGAAAAAAACAAAACTAAAACTCAGTGAACTGGTGTAACTGGCTCACTGCAACCAGTGGGGACAGTGTATGAGGGTACCCTTTTACATACGATAACTTACCAATAAATAACGACGCAAGACGTAACTGGTGACAACAGGCGAAAGCTTTTTTTAAACCAATAAATATTATCAACATAACATATTAATATAATATATCCAGTAAACCATAACTTTCCATTACTGGATCCTTGCCAACCATCTACATTAACATGGGTGTCTGCCTCCCCCCTCGTCCTTACACCACAACTGGCCTTCCTAACCACTGGCCAGCCTTTTGGTTCAGTGGGCACGTCCTTTAGCCTGTACCATAAACCCAAGGCTAGGGAAGGGATCAGCCCTGAACATTTTCCACTGGACTGCTGGTCCAACCCTGATTGTCTAGGACCTTCATCTGCCTGTTATGATAATCAAAGAAAATTAGCACATACAGATGACACCATAATTCCAAACATAATAGGGGAGGAGGGTCAAGAAGCTCTCCCCAAGCCGGATAATCAAGATGCCTGGGGATACAAAGGAAATGGCTCCCCTCTCTTAGCCTATGCCCACATATGACCACCTCTCTTAACCTATAGCTCCTCCCCCCATTAAAGGACTTCCCTTCCATGAACTTTTCTACACTCCTCCCCACTCACACATGTCCCTGTTCCTATATAGCCCTTTGATCTGCCTCCTTAAGGTCTAAACAGCTACCTAAAGCTACTGAAATCAATCAGACATAGGTCCCAGTAAAGGCTCTGTTGGAAGGTATCCTGCACCTGTCACTGATTCATTTAGAGCCAATATTGGAAATAGTTTTGGAAAGAAGTCATATTGACGTTTGTCTTTGCCAAAGGTCAGTCTGAAGTAAATAGTGTAGAGAAGAAAGATTGATTTCAGTCTTCAAGAGAAATCAACTTAAATCTTGTCTTAAAAAGAGAACAAATTGAATAAACACTTAGGAAAGACCGAGGACTTAATTTAGTTTAATGACTTGCGACTAGACTGAACAAAATCATAGAAGACTTGTGGCTTGAGTTAGACTTCGACAGCAATGAGTCAAGATTTGACTTGGACTTGTGCTCTATGACTTGGCAAGTATTAATGCCTTCTAAAACCAAAGGTTCGAGTTGTGATCAATCTAGGCTGGACCCTGGAGAATGACAAACCAAACAATATATATAAAATACCTAACTCATTTCTTTTATTAATTACACCATAAGATTTTTGGTAAAATGCTAAAATATAATAAAATATAATGTTAGTAATTAACAAACTGAGTTATTACCAGATGACACTAACACCCTTAGCTTCTCTTTTAGCAATGTTTAAAATGCTGGTGCACTGGGCATATTTTCATACACTTTTAAAACAGCCAATGCATGTTTATTACAATGCATGTTTTTATCATCTTTTATTCAAAGATGTAATTCACATTTGTACATTTCAGTTTTCTGGAAAGTCTATTTAAGCATGCTTCTTGTTCAAAAGATAGTCTGTGTTGAGTTTAATAATACTGTGCGCAGTACAGTCAGTCGCTTTGACTTCTGATTTTACTTGTTTGTTAGCAGGTTTTTTTTTTCTTTTTTTTCTTTTTCTGTGGTCTTCTGTTACATTGAAGGTTAGAAGTGTGCAATCCGGTAAGGTAAAGGAAACCATGAGGTGTAATATATTTAACTCTAAGGACGGTATGCTGTAAGGAGTGATGAAGCAATCCATCGCAATAAATTTGTACAATTTGACATTTGTTTAGTTGCCACATTTATATGCCAAGGTATTGTTTAGCAGGGACTTAAGAACTCAGGTCTTTCAGGACCTGGAAATCAGAAAACACCTAAAAAACCCCACAGATTTAGTGCGATATTTCTGGTTCTGTTGATGCACTGCCCACAGTCACTGCACCATAGATGAAAATTACCCTCAACCTCACAACATATCTAGATATATAAATTTTCTATTCTATTTATGTTATTATTTCACTGTCTAATTTCAGACAGTGTTAGACTGTGGCATCTGATGAGAGAGGCTTTATTTTAACGGGACACTATAGTCACCAAAACAACTTTAGCATAATGAAGCAGTTTTGGTGTATAGATCATGCCCCATGCAGTCTTGCTGCTCAATTCACTGCCATTTAGGAATTAAATCACTTTGTTTATACAGACTTCGTCATACCTCCCTACATGTGACTTACATAGCATTCCTAAACACTTCCTGTAAAGAGTCATCTAATGTTTACACCTCCTTTATTGCACAATTCGTATATTTTAGAATCGTGCTGCTCTGTTAATAGTTTGCTAGACCTTGAAGTAGCTCCTACATGTGATTAAAGTTCAATTTACAGAGCAGGCAATACAAACTTCTAAGTAAGTAAACATCTGATTGAAAATTAAACATTTTTTTCATGTAGGCAGTGTCAGTCACAGCTTGGGGAAGTGTGGCTAGGGCTGCACAAACAAAATAAAAGTTATTAAACTTCTAATTGGCAGATAAATGAGCAGTGAGACTTCACATGCATGAGCTGTACACTAAAACTGCTCCATTAATTCATTAAGCTACAGTATCCCTTTAAGGATTGGGGTCTAGTTCCCCAACATCTTTAATTCGAAGGACATTAATGTCTTGAATACTTGAAGCTAAAAAAACTGATGACTTTACGTAGACTTGCCTGTTTTGACTTGAGAATTGACTCGGGACTTGAATACAAAGACTCAAGACTTACTTTTGACATGCAAGACAATGACTTGGTCCCACCTCTGGGTCACACCAAACTTCACCATCGAGAGAGGACAGATTGAACTCAGTCCAGAGAAAGGTCAGTTTGAATTAGATGT